AGAAATATCACACTAAGCTGCTTATGTTAAAAGTATGGATGGAGGATGGAGTAGAGTGGCAGGGGCCCAGTTGTGAGGGAAGAGTTGACCTCAACTAGGAAAGCACTAGTAGTGGAAGATTTGAGTAGAGAAACAGAAAGGATATGCTGGGGAGATATTTTTAAGGTAGAATTATTTGTGGTTGGACACTGATCTATGTAGAAATAAGGAATAATCTGAGTTTATGACAATTTAACTGGAGTTGCAGTTGCTGAGATAGAGAATGAGAAGGAAATATAAGGTTGGGGAGGAGGAAGAGAGTTAATGAGTTCATTTTTGTGACTTTCTGACTTTGAGGGAAAAGAGTTTGTTATGCAGTTAGATGTGAACTCTAAGGAAAATGATCTGAATTTAAAAATTCATCTAGAAATAATTGTAGAAGCAAAGGAATAGGAGAGTTTGCTAAGAGAAGAGGTTTTAGAATGAGAGAAAGAAATCTGTATATGTGGATAAGGGGAGGGTTGCGGGTTGGAGGGACGTTATGGGGGGGAAGCCATTGTAATCAATATTCTGTACTTTGGAAATTTATATTCATTAAATAAAAGTTAAAAAAAAGAATGAATGAATTTGAAGGAATGAATGAATTTGACAGAGAAAGAGAATAAGCCTCCTTTTCTCTAGTTCCTGCAGTTATCTACTAATCACTTTACAAATGACTGCAATGTCCAGGATGCCTAAATTCAGAGCTGAGAAATCAGTCCAGGTGTCCCAAGTTGGTGGCAGGAATCCAACTACTCGAGCCACGATTTTTGCCTTCAGGGTTCAAATTAGCTGGCTGCTGCAGCAGGATCTAGAGCTAAGACTGAACCCAGGAACCCCCTTGTGGAACATGGGCATCTTAATGAGAGGCTTAACTGCTAAACCAAATTTCTGCTCCCAAACTAACATTTAAGTCAAGTTCAACAACCCATATCTCTCCCTACTTAGAGCTAGGGAGATTCTTACCTTTGTTTAATAACTTTGTTTTATTGTCCACAGAGTTTAGTGGAGTGCCTGGCATAATATAAAGGCATTTGACTGTACCTGAAGGTCTAATGAACTCTATGCACAAACGTACAAGGCTGGTGGTGTTGATTCCAATAAACAAATAAGGAAACTGAGGTTCTAACTTTAAAACCATGGTCTGATTAACTACAAGACCCAGGCTCTTAACTATGGGTGACAAAACACTTCTCTCCATCAAAGAAGATACAGCATGAATTGAAGCCTTTAGGAGTTTGTTGCTTGGCTAGGACAAGAAATGATCCTCTTGCAATGATAGAGAATAACAACAAAATGCAAAGCATGTAAAGGCATGTGACATTAATAAGTTATCAGAAATCATTGGAGGAAGGGTGATAAATTAGATCCTCTTAAGTTGTATATTGTAATTTACTTACTGTGCAATGCTAACTGCTATGGACCTCCATTTTCCTCATCTATAATGTGAGTGGGAAATAACTGCTTCACAAGTATACAACTGCCATCCACTCTGGGGAAGCAATGCTATAGAAAGTTCAATGACCATCATGAATACACATGCTCTAGAAGTTTCTTTTTCCCTCTCATTTTAACATGTAAAACCCAAATCAAAAATTGAAAAACCCAGAACTGAAAAGGGCTTACAATATAAAGAGTAACAAACAATATAAAACTACATTTATTTTTCAAAGTACTCATAATAAAAAGAAATGACATAATTATGATAAGACTCCTGTTTATAAATATTAGAAAGAAAAATCTAACAAAGATTATGTGACAATATTTGAGCTCTGATAAAAGAGCTCTTTTTCTTTGTCAGAAGACTATAATTAAGACAGAGAAGAAGATTAGACATGTTCGTTCCTGATTATGCTTTTTTACTGTTTGTATTTATTCATACTTTGTAGCTACATATTATTGTAATTTAATGCTATCTTTCAGGATAAGGAAAGCAACCAGCTCCATAAACTTATCTGCTCAGAAGTAATTAAAGTCAAATAAGATGAGTCTAAATTCTCTGTTTATATTTAATATTCTTTAAAAATAGTTTTGTCTTTTGGGAAAATGACCCACTATTGCTTATAATAAAATAAATAATAAAAAATCACATACTTAATAACTGACTTTCAGGACCACAGACAGCTCAGTACCTCCTGCCTGGTGTATTTCATGTCATGGTCAAAAGTAAAATCAGAAAAGTAATATTGCATAGTTAAAAGTAAAATTATACAGTCTTAATTTTCAAATTTATATATTTACCCTAAAAGAAAAAGGAATCTGAGAATGCTAGGTCCTTAGTTAATTTTTTGTACTTCCAAGCATGCTTGGTATTCCATTCTAATTTTAGTCACTAACTTGATGTACTCAGCAAAGCATGATGAAATTAATTGAGATTTAGATCTTCCTCAAATTACTCCTTCGAAATGACTTTGATACTTTTAGGCAAAACTTGCTCTAACCAAGGGTGAGTGAATACTTTAAAAAAGTATACATAAAAAAGCAAAAGAGAATACTGACTTCGGCAAACAAGACAGTGGCAAATGGTCAGAAAGAGGAATCATCAGCTGGCCTGCTCCTGTTGCTACTTGTTTGCCTTGCCAAGTTGTCAAGCACCTTGGACATAGTGAGAAGGAAAGAGCTCTCCCAGGAAAAGCCTCCTGGGAATGTCAGACCAGGGAAGTGCAGTGCTCAGATCTGTGTGAAAATAAAGCCTGCTGCTAGAAGTGATGGTGAATAAATACAGTTTGTGAAAAACGGGATGGAGGAGGAGGTACAAATTGGAATCTCTCCTAGTGAAAGGGAAAAAAAAGCACAGGATTTAGAATCAGCTGGCCTGGGTTTGGGTCTCATTCCAGTACTTAATAGCTGGATGACTTTGGAAAAGACCCTTTTAGGGACTAAGCTACACTCCCTAAACCTGTAAAAGGTGCATAATAGTAAATATCTTGCTAATTGGGAGGAATCACTGAAATTGTACTTTTAATACCCCATTATACCATTTTGTATGTAGATCATCTTTTCTATGTGTATATGATAGTGCTCTGTTTCTATCTGTTTGGGACAGCAACCTGTAATGGTGAATTAACACTAGAAGACATGTTCTTCCCAATTTACATATATATATATATATATAATTTTGTGGTGTGACATGCAGTGGTAAGTCATGGTCCTCATGTTTCAGGGGTTATATCAGAGGCTGGGCCCTAATCTCAGCTCTGAACTCATTTATTTTGTAACCCCAAGTGAGGATCTGGTCTTTGGTCTCTTTGTTAAAAAGAGGTGAGAGTATCCTTCATGTCCAGTTTTAAGGGGTGAGGCCCAAAAGAAACAGTTTGTGAAATTCTTTGGAAAATGTAGAACTTAGCACATAAGATGCAAATAATACATCGAGTAGCCAGGATTTGAACTGGCGCCCAAATGGTATGCCGACAGGGAAAGTGGACAGTGAAAGAGATAGAGAGAGAAAGGTCTTCCTTTGCCGCTGGGTCACCCTCCAATGGACGCCGCTGCAGCCGGGGCACCGCGCTGATCATGCTAGGGACCAGTCGCCAGGTGCTTTTTTCCGGTTTCCCATGGGGGAGAGAGCCAAGCACCTGGGCTGTCCTCCACATGCACTCACGTGTGCACACTAGAGATTCTGTAGCTGTTAAGAAGGGCAACCTGCGAAAGAATCCGGCGCCCCTACTCGGACTCAGAGCTCGAGTGATACGTGCTCCTATGATGGAGGATTAGCCTATTGAGCCACGGCGCCGGCAATTCATCTTATATATAAATCTGCCTACTTGTACTGGGTTTATTGTTCCCAACTAGAGAACAGAGAGAACTTGAGAACAATGATCACAGCTAACAAGATTTCTGCCCACTTCATCTCTCCCAACTCAACCCCTTGAAGCAAGTGTTCTGCAAACACCCTTTTCATGTTGTTGGTTGGTTGAGAAGCACAAACTTTGTAAATCCTTCGCATTCCTCAAGTTATTTTTTTACAATTATGTTTTCTCAACATGCTAGATTTGCCTTGAATTTTTGGACCAATATGTCATGTTTGGGCTACTTTCAGAAATAGTTTTTAAATGAGTATTAGGAGCAGTCAGGATCAAGGAAAAACGTGCTTGAACTTACACTATCTTGAGTTAGGCATTCATGTGAGTCTTTAGTTTAATACACATAGCTACAACAAATAATGTGCTCTCCGATTTCTTTATTTGAAAGCTATTCAGTTTCGTGGCTCTGATAAACTCCAGCATGCTTTTACTTTTTTTGAGAGAGGCAGCCAGTTCAGTTTACTGTCCCAAATGGACATGTAAACAGGGCACCATCATGAATACATGAAAAAAAAAGATGACCTACATATACGATGATACAGTAGGGCATTAAAAGTACAATTTCAGTCATTCCTTCCAATTAAGGCTAACTCGTCTGTGATTTCAGCCTTCCATTTGAAATAAAAGTCTAAAGTAATTGGAGCACTGAGCTATTCACCACTGTATTTCAATCTGGAAATAATTGTCTTTGTTCAATTAGGAATCTGCATTTTCATGCCAGTCTTCTCAGATTATTTTGAATAGAGAATGCACTCTGATTAAAAAGGAAAAACAAAAAACAAAAAAAGCAAAACAGCAGCCTGATGTCCTCATCCCCTTATTGGATTTAACATTTTGTTTACCTCTAACAGACTGAGAAGGATGTCATAGAAATGACTTTTTGAATTTATTTATTTTAGGTGGAAAAAATCTCTTGATCATTCATATATTGCATTTAAAAAATGTGAAAGTCCTTGAAGATGATTCTTTAGAGTTGGATTTGACAAAGTGTCTATTTGTCTGAGAACTCTGATTAACTTGGCCTATGATAATGACCAACTTTTGTACAGTGCAAAATCTGACCATTAATTCTTTTTATATTCATAGGACCATTTACAGTCCTTGGTGATTTTGAAATGTGGCCTCATATGTAACTCTTACAAGGAACCTTGACAACTAAGGTTTGTTATTCTTTTTCAGCAGGTGAAGACAGCAAAGATTCGAGAGTTAATGTGATTTCCCATCACCCACTAAGTCACAGGTGAAACCAAGAGACAACTGCAGGTCTGGCTGCTCTGAAGTCCACGTTTTCTCAGGCTTCAGGTACCATTTTCTTATTAATTTAATACAGCCAACAGAAAATGATGAAACATATTATTTTTAAACAATGATAGGGTGTTTAGGTGGGCATTTGACCTAGCAGTTAAGATCCCACATCATGCATTGAAGTAAATAGATTTGGTACCCAACTTCCACTTTTAACTCTGGTTCCCTGCTCATGCAGACCATACAAAGCAGCAGTGGTAGCTCCACTGACTGGGTTCCTGTCATCCACTTGGGAGATGCAGGTCGAGTTCCCAGCTCCTGGCTTCAACCCCAGCCCAGCCCCAGCCATTGCAAGCACTGGAGAGTGAATCAGTGGATAGGAGCTTTCTTTATCTGTCTACTTACTTTCTCTCTCTCTCTCTCTCTCTCTCCCTCTCAAATAAGAAAGCAAGATGCTATAGATAGAACTATGAAAAATTCCAAATCAACATATGTCTGCTATGAAATTCCATTCTTGAATAACCCTGAAAGCACTTATATTTAGTATTTTTGGTTGAGAATAAAAGGTCTATAAATTACAAAAACATGTTATCACAATGACAGTTTTTAAAGTAATATTCTATGCATCAAAATATGATTTAATGATTTCTCCAAAATACATTCCTTTAGAACAAGGCTTTATCTTTTCCATTTTTATATCCCTTCAACCAGTCATCATTATTAAGTAGAAAGTGAGTATAACTAAATATCTTGAGTGTGTGTATTTTAATATATACATGCAAATAAAAAAAATCCCACTAGTCTGAAAGTAGAACTTGCCCAAACCTTTCATTATCCCTTTTAGAAACATTATACAGGCACCTTAAATAGCCACCTTTGATGCAAAGCAATTTCTCCTTCTTAATAATACTCTGATAAACTTACACAAGGCTGTTTCCCCTTTCTTCTCTGCTTTTGGCCATACTGTTTCAGCATGACAACAAGAAAAAAAGACTTACTTAAGCACCTGGTTGGAAAGCGATAGCTCACCTCATTTTTCTTTTTGAAAATGTACAAAGTTAGTATTTGAGAGATTTCAGTTCAAATGGCTTTGCAAGCAAAGGTAGTGATAACTTCTACATTTCACGCTAAATGTGATTCTGGCTTTGGAGTGTTTGTTTGGGGCTGTGGGTTGGTGGGAGGAAGGCAGTCCGTCCTTTTGTTATCTACCAGAGCATTGGCTTTGGCAGGTGTGGAGATAACTTTCCCGTAATGATGGGAGACAATATTCCCCACCTTCACAGGAACTTGCCATCTGGTGCTGAGGGTCAGAGATAATTTAGTCTCTAAGTTAGTTCAGTGCCCCAGCTAAGACTGATAAATGAGTCCAATTACACAAATGCACAGCAGTGTCAATAACATATCAGTATTTGACCAGTCTTGGTGAACTCTTCAGACTCCTTCAGGAAAGACAGTGGATTCCTAAGTGAATTAACCTATCTCAGACCCAGCCACAATATTGAAAGAGAAGAGGTCAAGCCTTATGAAGCTTACAAAGAAACATTAAAAATACATTCGCATAGTATGCAGATCACATCCTCTAACCTCTGATCTTATACAGCAAAAATGCCAGATTCATTGTTGGTCTTGCACACTCTAGAATGAATAACATTACACATGAAATCTTTCTTTCCAATAAAAATAGTGGCTAACACTAAAAAATTACAATACGCTATGATTCAAGAAAACAAATAGGTATGCCCATCAAGGAAAAGAAAGATACAAAGATGTGAAAGGCAAAACTTAGACCAAAATGAAGCCTTTGAGAAAGACAAATGTTTTGTTTCTCTCCCAAATAATCTGGACTGAGTACAGAAATTAATAAAATTTACCAAATAGTTCCTTAAATTCCATTTCCATATCATCTTGAAATAGCTATTTTGCATAATCAGTAGAGGAGAGGGGGTTATGATTTGATGAGAAGAGAATGAGATACTGGCAATGTTAAGCGTCCAGTATGGCCCAATTTCCCAGGACCCCTGGGAGCATGTGAGCAATGACAAGATGCCACAGTTAAACAGCACAGCAATATGCAGGAAAGTAAGCCAACAAGGCTCTGTCTCCTGGGAGAATGTAAGTTTTAAACATTTAAAGGAGATCTTATTAAAAAGAATGTCAATGAACTGAGGAAATAAAATATAGTTCTATTGAGAAAACAGAATTTTCTTCTCTGGAAGGAAAATCTCTCCAGGAAGGTGAAGAGTACTCAACCTCTCACAATGTAAAGAAAAAACAGCCAGGATTTGTAGGCAAGAAAGTGAGGGAGATGGGAAGGGGGTGCTCTATGGACTGAATGTTTGTGTCCCCCAAATTCATATGTTGAAATCATAACCCCAAAGGTATAGTATTTAGTGGTGGGGTCTTTAGAACTGCATAGAGGTAGAGGCCATGAGGGTGTGGCCCTTATGATGGGATTATTGCCCTTATAAAAAAGGGGAAGAGATAGCATCAAATTTCTCTCTCTGTGCCCCTCTCCCTTCCCTCTCCAACTTCATTCCTCCCCCCCTCACTTCTCTATTTTCCTTTAAAAATATTCATCTATTTATTTGAAAGGAAGAACAACAGAGAGAACTACAAAAAGAGAGGGAGAGCAATCTTCCATCTGTTGTTTCACTCCCCAAATGGTCACAACTGCCAAGGCTGGGCCAAGTTGAAGCCAGGAGCCAGGAACTCTATCTGGGTCTCCCAATGTGAGTTGTCAGGGCCCAAGCAAGTGGGACATCTGCTGCTGTCCCAGCTATATTATCGGGGGACTGGACTGGAAGAGGAGCATCCAAAACTCTAACTGGGAGCGTGGCTTTGCTGGCAGCAGCTTAACCCACTGCACACAACACCAGCCCCTCCATTTCTTCCGTGGCTACACCAAGTAAAGGCCTTGGGAGGACATAACCAGAAGATGGCCATCTACAAAGCAGAGGAAGGCTCTCACCAGGCACCTTGATTGTAGACTTTCCAGAACTGTGAAAAATAAATTGCTGTTTCTGAAGTCACTCAGTCTTTGGTATTTGGTTGTAGCAATGCAAACTAAAATAAGGGACGATGGAGCTGACACCGGGGCATAATGAGTATAGCCACTGGCTGCAATGCCAGCAACCCACATGGACCCTTGTTCGAGTCCTGGCTGCTCCACTTCCAATCCAGCTCCCAAAGATGTTACACCTCTGGTTCAACCAGGATGGGCACTCGAATCAATGTTAGAAAATCTATTGGCCGGCCTACAAGTCAGACTCCGACTGAGAATGTTAAGGTCATGGCAATGCGGGCAGAGTCAGTCCTGTGGTCAAGCCAAAACTAAATGCAAACCTAATGGAAGGAGGGGCAGAAGTGATGGGTGAAGTAGCAGTAAGAGGCAGCTACTCTGCAAAGAAATCAGTGGGCAGCCATCCACAGATGTCGAGCCAGTTCACGATGCCTTCCAAACGAGGCTCAGCTGAGCCCAATTTCCTCTTGAAAGAAGTATGTGAGAGTGCCTCTTAGAACATTATAACCCTGCTCATTTCCTGTACCTTTTTTTTAGTTGAACTACTTCCAAAATGTTTTTATTGGGTTCCAACTAATTAATCCACGAATAAGATAAAAGACAAGCCTCCAAAGTTAATGCTGTCGGCATTTAAAAACTACCGAACATGAGGAACAAGGAGGGAAAGGATCTAATATTTTTTAAAATGTCCTCCATGTGATAGACCTTGTGGTAGGTGAAGTACGTATTTTTATCCCTTTAGCAACTGTGTTGCTATTTTACTCACACAAATGAAGCAAATGAGCTTCCAAGGGCTTAATAAACTTGTCTGAACTCCTGCAGCATCGGGATTGAAACTCATACCTGCCGGACTCCACAGGCCCTTCCAGGTAATAAGTCTCTCAAAACAGTGAAGATATGGATGATAACATCCGCTGGCTCATTTTGTGTGTCCACGTGGAGGAAGTGTTAGATGAGGTTAACATTTAAATTGGTGGCATTTCATTTAATATAAGGCGAATGGGCCTCACCCAATCAGTTGAAGGCATGCTTACAACAAAAGGATGGGACTTGTGTAAGAGACTCCTCCAGCTGCTGATTTCCTTTGTACCCTTGGCTGTCCTGGGTCCCTGGGCTGGAACTTCTCCACTGCTTTCCTGGGTCTCTAGCCTGCTGGCCTCATCCTGCAGATTTAGACTTGAAGCCTCCATAATTTCATGAGTTAATTCCTTATAATAAATCTCTTTATATGTAGGTAGACATCCTATAAGTTCTGTTTCTCTGGAGAAACCTACTATGCAATAAAAGGCTTGGTTCAGGAAACTATGCCTGGCTTGTGGCTGGCACTGTGGTGCAATAAAATTAATCCTCCGCCTGCAGTGCCAGCATCCCATTTGGGTGCCAATTCTAGTCCTGGCTGCTCTTCTTTTAATCCAGCTCTCTGCTATGGCCTGGGAAAGCAGTAGAAGATGGCCCAAGTCCTTGGGCCCCTGCACCCGCATGGAAGACCTGGAAGAAGTTCCTGGCCCCTGGCTTCATATTGGCTCAGTTCCAGCCTTTGTGGTCATTTGGGGAGTGAACCAGTGGAGGGAAGACCTTTCTCTCTGTCTCTCCCTCTCACTGTCTGTAACTCTACCTCTCAAATAAATAAATAAAACCTTAAAAAAAAAAAAAGAAACTATGGCTGCATTTCTAATTGGTTCAGGAGTGTGTTAAGGGTTTCTAAGCTAGGTGTTTAATATATCCTTTCCATTGTCTTCTGCTTATTGTTGATGTAGTATGTCTATTTCTATGTTTTTATTTTTCAACATGTATACGCACGTACACACAAACACACACATGCTTTTATATCTAAAACGTTTCTTTTGTAGTTAACAATCATTGGAACTAGCTTTTTAAATCTATTTTGAGGTCGATGCCATGGCTCACTAGGCTAATCCTCCACCTGCGGCGCGGGCACCCCAGGTTCTAGTCCCGATCAGGGCGCCGGTCCTGTCCCGGTTGCCCCTCTTCCAGGCCAGCTCTCTGCTATGGCCCAGGAGTGCAATGGAGGATGGCC